GACATGGGGCTTCCAGACTCCAGAACTGTGAGAAACAGACTTCTGTGTGTAAGCTACCCAGCCTCTGGTGTTTTGTCATGGCATCCTGAGCCGACTATGGCACCAACCTTCTCCTCGGGAGCCCCAGCTAGGGCAGGAGAGATGAAACGGAGCAGATGCCGTGTGGCTGGTTTCCCCAGATGTTTCAAAACACCAGTGGGTAGAGAGCAGACAATGGTACTGGCAAAGGCATTAGAGTCTCCTATGCCACAACTTCTCATTTTACAGAGAGGACTTTAAGACGGAGAGACCCAGGGGATTTGCCCAAGGGTGCACAGCAGGCTAATGGCAGCTCTGAGGCACTATGAATGGAGGAAAACGAATGGGGTCCAAAGCCAGCTCTGCACTTACCTGCTGTGCAACCTTGATCTTCCTGTAAGCTTTCTGGACCTTGGTCCCTGCTTCTACTCTGTGGTCCTCCATGCCCAGGATGGCCATGCTTTCCCTCTGCCTGGAACAATTGCAGGTTACCCTGTCATCTCAGCACAGTTATTATTAACACCCCGCCCAGTCTCATAGTGTCTGGACACACCCTCTACCCCTGAGGCAGTTTTCAAGTCACATGCCCTCCACCCACCCGCTGCCAGACAGTGCTAATTCATCATAGAAACCCAGACAGCCGTCAGGCCTCTGCAGGGAGTATCCAGGACAGCCATGGCCAATCAAGCAGTATTGTCAGAGGAGATGAAATCGATTTGCCAACCCTACTCTGTGGAATCTGGTAGTATTGACCTGGTTTCTTGAGTTGTGGTTTCTCTAGTGGCACAGGAAAATCCACTGGTCACTGGGGCTCAGTCTCCTATCCTCAAAACAGAAAAATCAAACCTCCTAACTTCTTCCATGTGTTGTAAAGTCATTGTTAGAAAAGCAGCCCTTGGAAGAAACATGACTATGAGTATTAAAGTTCATAGCTCCAAAGATGTTGCCAATTTTAGGAATTCATGGAAAAGTGGTGGGAAAAAAAAACGTTTAAAAATAGATTGCATTTGGTACAGCAAAAAAAAATCATTAAAAAGTTAAAGGGCATATGACAGACAAATTGGGTAAAAATATGTGCATCTTTGATATG